CTCGGGGTGTTACAATCCACCCTCCTTAAAATATTTCCGTCCTCGGAAATACTAAACTGAAACGTACAAGCTTAACCTGAAGCTTATACTCATTACTTGACATGACTTGAACTTTTCAGTATCAAATACTGAACATCAAGCTTAATCTTAGCTGAGAAATCAACAATTCACCGTTAAGTGAGTTGATGGTGTAACATTGACTGAAACGAAACATTTTTCTGAAACAATGTGTCCACTGAATAATAGAATTCTGGAACGTATAGATCTTCATCTCCTGGCTGGCTATGGCTACTGGTCTTCAATTTGAATGCTAATTGTGTACTCCCTTTCGTAGGTACTCCTGGAAAATTTCAGAGATGCGCACCTGTACAAATGAGGGTAACTAGCAATCGTGGCAACTACCTTTCATAATTGTCTACTCAACACGCGGCTCATCATTCGCGGCACATCGTAATGCGGTATACCTGCTCCTCATCAAGTGAGTGCGGCACACCTACACACAGCACCTGGCGAAAATTGCACCTGCGACGTCGATGTAGTCTGTATGGCTGATCATATCTGTATCTTGGCTAGTAGCCTCAATGTACTAAAGTGCGAACTCTCCGTAATCTCCCAGTGTACTGTATCCCAACATGGTATGGCATCCTGCTCTTCTGACATCATGCATACTTGAATGGAAAACTTGGTTGTCACCATGGCATGATCTGCTGCTGTTGATTGATCTTCTCCGCCGTGTCGTATGTCGACAGTTTGTACCTGCAACTGTTTACCTTCCCTGAGGTCAAACTTAACCTCAAGAAAAGTTTATCATGAACTGATCTTTCCTACGAGTTCTCAAATCATCTGTATTTGAGAATCGAGGTTCTGAACATACTGAAAATGACTAATAAGTCTTGTCTCATTAGACAGACCATCTTCAGTCTTGACATGACTGTCCTGAATATTCTCATGATTGACTAACCATGACTGAACTTTTACATGATTGAATCATTTTTATTTTAAACACTGAACTATCCCGAGACAATAAAATAATCATCTCGGAGGTTGGAATATGACGTTCACTGACTAATTTAACTTTGATAAGGTACGACTTCAAGTTTCCAGGTAAATCTGAACTGATAGTCTGTATATCAGACCGCCACATTTTACCCGGCTGAACAACTATTATACGCCGACCTTACATCATGAACATAAACTGTAAATCGTGAACATTGGCTCATGACTGTGTACTATATAGGGCTGCTCCAGTATCAACTGGTCCCGCAAGTACTGAATAAATAGCTGATCTTAAACTTTGGCAACCAAATTTCAGAGTATCTAACTGGTAAGATACCTGACTTAACTGACTCTAAAGGTTGTTATTTCTGGAACTGTGCTACTCCGGTTCCAGCTTCAAGCCTCCATGGTGTACCCGGCTTAATGGCTCTTATTTCAAGCCTCCATGGTAACCCAGACTTATGACTCTTATACACTGGAAACCGTTACTTTAATAATAACTTTGAAAAAATATAACAACCTTTAACATGAAAATTTTCTGTCTTGAACATGATTTACTGATCTGACTTAGGAAATCTAAGCCTGTTCCCTGATCTAAGTCAAGGAATTTCTTACTGGAACATGCCAACTGAATGGCAAAATGGCCAATTTTCGATAGGAAATGCCCGTGGAACATGATTGCTAAGATTTGTATAACATAATTGTTTACAAATCACTGAATGAGGCATTAACTTAATCTGAATAATCTAGAATGGAATCTAGGGTTCTCAATCCTAGCCCCTTTTCTAGAGTTCTGAAATCGTACTTGAACCTCCTTACTGATGACTTTATTGAAACTGATCAATAAAGGACACAGATCTCTTGACGAGTTGCTAAACATGGCTGGGGAATACTGATACAAAATTCCGAGTATACTGACTACTGGTCAAGAACATAATTCGAGCATCTTAACTATGTCATAACTGAGAAATTTCTGAGCATAGAAATAGTAAATTGTTTATAATTTAAAACTTAATCAGCACTTACCTGG